TTCATTCTTCAGCTGCCCTCATCTGTTCTAAGAGCAATGGAGGGTCTGTAGATGAAGCTGCACAGAGAAATGCATTGTCCGTTCGAATATCACAGGATACTGGCACGGCTCGCAGCTGCAGTCATGCGAGGTTCGAAAGCTCGCGGCTGTGCTAAACACACCGGGAGGTCGGTGCGGAGTTTGTTGTTCGTCATTGCTGTAACTATGGCATCTTGAGCTACCAGGGTCTCTGCAGTCGTTGAGCTCGTAGGAGCTGGTAAACTAGCTATATTTACCGTATGCGAGTACTCGGGGGCTGATTCGGAACAGGTGGTAAACTAAAATGAGCACGGTACTCCTTGCACTCACATATAACCACTTGTTCTACATCCCATCCAGGGGTACCCAGAGGTGGGATCTGGACAGAGACACCGGCTCCGATACCTCTGTTGCTCGCGTCTGGTGTAGCTACCAATTGCTGGCGGGGAAGCGGATGGTAGGGGCGATCCGAAAGACCACAGCGGAGAACAGGTATGTATGGGCGATCTCTTGAACTTCTCACTTAAACACAGCACCCTTGCGTGTTAAGTCAGATAGGATCGCCGCTTGGTTGGCATTACCAGGTATATAATCAACCCACCAGTGAGAAACTGCAGGAGTAGGCGTATTTCAAATACGTTAATAACATTTTACGCCGTCAATTGGGGACATGTTCTCAAATTAATATATGTATAGGTGGGTCAGCCCGAGAGGAAGTTGTAGTAAAACACGATTCGATAACTATATCCCATCGTACTCCCCTCTACAGAGGTCAGTCGTTGGTTATTTTTTGAATATCTTTGGTTTATAAAACCATGTGTTTATTTGATCAGAAATATTGATCAAATAAACCCTAAACATAGTTTACAAATTCTATCAAAATAAACCCAATAACCCTAAGCCTGTATTCCTGACCACAAAGTAATACTAATTTGAGACTTCTTCTCAGAATATTCTATTTATAGTACTTGGGCCACCGGCTAGCCAAGAGCCGAGTTCCGAGACTGAGAGTATGCATCAGAGAATGTGATATATTTATTCCTAGAAATATATCAGAGTACTAAAGTGTTCTGCATAAGTTTGAGTTTTTACCCTGGACAACCCAATTGGTTGAACACTAGTACAAACACTTTCAGTATATATCTGGTGGTGAGATCAATAAATAAATTCATTCGAACGTATCATTCATTAGATACATTTGCACTTTACTTATAGTCCCCCACATTGCGCTTTAACTACCAGGATAACACAGCAAGGAGGTTGATAAGCCCTAATCTGTTTATGGGCGCTGGTCTGTCGAATAACACTTGTGGTAAGACTTGTGGACGTTTAAAATTGACTGCATAGCTGTTTCGGATATTCTCTCGGCCAAAGAAGATAATGGTACAGTCGATAAGCACTACCGACTGGCATTCGCGAGGTTGCAACTGGATAACGTTCTTATACAGATGCAGAATATTCGGGAGATGTCGTTCCAGTGGTCCGTTCAGCGCTTCGAGGATCGTCTGGGCCGCTTTCCGAAATGTCGCTAGGTTGTCATCATCCAGGTAAGCCCTGAAGGCCTTGTGTTATAAGTCAGAAGGTGGAGTCTATGTAGTGCTGCATGCCATAACGCCCATTTCGATCCCTTCCATAAGACAGTGTGGCTGGTGGAAACGTCCATTAGCCGTAATAAATGTTAAATAATCACGTGAATCCTGGTAAAAAAGAAGCTGATACTATGATGCCGCGAGGTCAGCCGTTGAGTGTACTATGATGTTTTTGAAATGTCCGCTGTAATAGCCGGGCCTCTACATTAGAATCTTGTATATAAACGTACTCTTAGTTTTCCTTAAATGGGTTGTAACGGTTTTATTAATTAAATATATTTTTCCATTTTACATATTAGATATTTGGACAAGGCCATTAAAAGGCCTGAATAAAATGCCAAAGATATGATTTGGACTAGTTCTATTAATAAAACTATATTTGCTTTCCAAATCTATTTATATCTGAATACTTCGGTAGCGAGATGGCTCAACCAAACATGGGTTTCTAAGGACTACTAGTGTTGCTTAGTTTATCCTCACTCCGTTCAGCCAACCAGATATGCCAGTCTGAAGAAGCAAAGCATACAAGTCAAATAGGATCTCGCAGTCGCATGGTAGCTAGTCGGAGACAACGAAATCCACCTCATTTGGTGCCTGCGCATTCAACAGTAGTTAGGATAGTCTGACCATCACCACCAAAATCTTGTGAATACACTGGCGATACTAATTGTATGTGAAAGTTGAGTCTCTCTACGAATGATATTAGTAACATAGCTGGTTTAGAACTAGTATCAACGTAAACTCAAAGGTCCTCATGTTCACAAACTGCTTGTACTACTAGACCCGTTCACTCGACTGCGTATGTTGCTATATGTTGGTCGGCATCCTCCTCGACAGGTGATGTTGCGTGTGTGGTTCTCGTCATTGATATATAACTCCTCGTCGTCATCGTGGTAGTGAAGTTCATAGACGGCGGCGGGAGCAGCGCCACACAGGTGTTGTATTGTGTGTCGTCGATTGGGGCTTGCATGTATGGTCGCTGTCCCTGACTCCCGTCAACGCTCTCTTGAGATACTCCCGTAACGAGTGATGTAATATCCTCAGCTGGTTCAGTGGTGGTAGCTGTCGCTGCGGTGACCTTGTTGGGCAGCGCCGGGAGTAATACCTCATTTACATACATGTATGGAACATGGAGAATAGCTTGTTCTACATATTTTGGATGTAGCATCCGGATACTCTATTCTACGGGCGCTACATGCAAAGGATGCTAAGACTGTGGCGACAGAGTCAGCGTCGGTATTTTGTGAGCATGGCTTTTTTTCCGGAAAATTCAGAGTGATGAGGGGACAGAATTTGTCAATAAAATTGCGAAATTTATTACATGAGCACTCGGAATTATGCACAAGACATTCAACCATACCGCCCTCAAGCATTGGGTGCGGCAGAGCGCCGGTACAAATAAATTTACAAATGTGTGCGCGCACTTTGTGTTGGCTGTCCGGAATTGTGGGATGAGCGTTCACCTTTCACTATGCTTTACCAGAACCTCCAGATATCACAAGTCACAAGTCAACACCATTTAGTGTTTGTCTTGGTCGTCGCCATGTTGCGTCTGCAGACATGACTGATGAATAACCTGTTCATATTCCGACGACGAATGAGGTATGGCTTAAGCGGTTGAATGACCCGGAAATGACAATCCTGCCGAAGAAATACACTGACGCCATGGAAGTAGCTGCTTAGGTCGGACTATATATGTCTGTTCCTTGAACTCACCCCTACAGGCTGCTGTAATAAATGCTCGTAGGGCGTTGCGAGGTACCAGATTAAAATCAAAGTCTCACATGCGTCGATTGTTGTGGTGAGTGGCACCAAAGTTTGATTATGAAATATTCTTTGTTTGTATGCGTCTCGCTGTATATCACATTACAAACGATTGCTTCCCATGTCGGTAGGGCGTGGGCAGCGGGATGTGTGCGGCAGGAATCGATGCTAGACACGGTGGGCTGGACGAAGCGTGCCAGACTGTCACCATGTATGCCAGATGTATGAATGTAGTGGCCATAGAATACGTCATGCGTGAGCGTGAGAACCAACAATTACGTTGGAGCAAATAGATGTACTTGTGTATTGTACAACTCTGCGTTGGGCGCGTCGAGAAGCGTTTTCGCGTTTTCTGGTGGAAGTCGCGCTGGACAATCTTAGCATCGTAACCATGCCAGAACGAGCAAGCGCGTTGCGAGTCCGAAAAGCAGTGATGGGTGAGCGCTGTATCTTCAAATGTTGGGTACTGGGATCTCCTGGTCGCGTGTCCGTGGGCGCGTTGTACTACGTCGGTAGTGTGGTTTGCATTTGGAGCTAGCATGGTGGTGCCTGCGTGTCCGGGGTTGTGATTCACTTGCCGGGCGACATTAATGATCACGTTATCGAGCATCACGCGATGTGGCTGAGTTGCCAATTGCATGGGCAGAGCTACCACAAACGGTGGTCTAAGTGCCGTACGATCTCAGACCGGACTGTAGAAGTGGTCAACCGTGTGTTATCATGGTGCGATGGAATTGCGGCTGTCGAACGTGTGCATGTGCATCGTTCAGTTGAGTATTGACCGTGGTGTGGGTCTTGTGGTATAATATCGTTGACGGAGCGAGCGGTGACGAGAACGATCGCGGTCACTCAGAGAGCGTGGACGCTTGTGACGTATCTGGTATTGCGGGGGAGGGGGGGGCGGGATAGGTAGCTGAGTACCGCATCAGCGAGATGATACATTTCTCGTTCTTGGGGTAAATAATCAAATAAGTAAATTAGCTTGGTATGGTCATCACGGTAGTGGGATTGTGGTCAAAACCGAGTGACGCTTAGTAAAGAGTTTAAAGTCTGAAATAAGTGAATTCAGTAGAAGTGTCATTGGGAATAGCGCGTCTGCTATATTTATTAATTACAATCCTGTGTGGAACGAGACTTTCTCTAATATCGGGTTATGTGCAAATACCCGTCTCTATGCTTTCGGATGAGTCATCACACACTTCTCGTATCTCATTAAGTTTTCTATTGCACTAATCGGTCCGGTCCTCTTGTCCGGTCCTCGAATATTCCCTTAGGTACGGTCCTCTGGTCCGGTCCTAAACTCATCTCTCAGGTCCGGTCCTAAGGTCCAGTCTTGACTACCCTCCTATAGGGTGCTTTGGTCAGATCTGTGTCGGTTCTACACCATATTAGCTTGTAGTGTTTTCCTTAACCACCAGCATAAATTTTAACAGGATGTATAATGTCCACGTAGCTCCTGTACAGTGATGGCTGGCTTAGTTCCTGACGGTTAATTAGTATGAAGCTGTCCCCTACGTACAGTTGGCAAGTTCGGAACTGGTAGATTTTGGTCGGCACCTGAAAAAACTTCGTAAGCCTCTATCAATCGTATGGTCTGGATCCGTCCAGACTAGACCATCGCTTTAAGACGAGTCAACCCACTCTAAGAAAAATCACGAATTTTTTTTCTCGAGTTAGTAGCCGAATTAAAAAATAGCCTTCTTAGCCTTTTGCACATGTGTCAGCAGCCCTAAGTTGTTGCTCTGCTTGACAACCCCTTCCATATGTTGTACAGCCTTATCCAACATAGATATCGATTGTTGAGTCCCAAATATCAAAATAATCTAGCGTAGTATAGACCTCTGTCTTGGTTTTTCATCCGGTATCAAATCAGAGGAAAGGTATATCGCCACCTCATCATTACGCAATGGCGATTCCCGATGTATTCTAAGCAGTCGTTTCAACAATCGAACACAGGCTTTCTTGTTCACACAGTAACTTCATTCATCGTGTAACAAAAATTTCATACCTATTCAATTTTAGTTAGCTTACCCTGTGAGGAGCTTAATGTAGTAAATACAGTAGTTCGGTCACTTCAAATGTGGTCCAAACAGAGTTACGCTTAGTAAAGAGTGTGAAGTCTGAAATAAGTGAACTCAGTCAGAAGTGCCATTGCAAATGGCGTGCCTGCTATATTTATTCATCACGATCATATATGGAACGAGACTCTCTCTACCATCGGTTTACGTGAAAATACCCGTCTCTATGGTTTCGGATGAGTCATCACTTCTATCTTATTAACTTCTCTATTACACTGATCGGTCCGGTTCTCTGGTCCGGTTATCTGGTCCGGTCCTAAACTCCTCTCTCATGTCCGGTTGTCCTCTGGTCCGGTCCAAACTATCCTCCTAGAGAGGGCACTTTGTCCACAGGATGTATTCAGGCGTTTCGCCTGGTCGAGTAGCTCGGAGACGTTATCCGGGCGACAGAGGCGGGTGGATGCACCGTAATGTACAACAAGATAGCGTTTGATAATTGCCACCTGGGCACCGAAGCCGAGTTCAGCCATCACACATTTTAACTTGGATAATCTGATCGATATGCCGCAGCAAGAAGCCAACACGAGCATCCTCCGCAAGGAAGCAAGTGTATTCTCGCGATAATTTTTGCTTTCCCCATAGGAAGAACAAGATGAAGATGGGTCTTCAGAGCTTCTTATAATAGGTGGGAAGAGATTGGACCTTAATTGTTAAACTGTGCTGTGAGAAACTAAGTTACAGGAGGTGTTCACATAAAATAGATTAAAAGTTATGATTAAATATGACTAGGGTTCTTGGGGATTCGTCCTAGTTTGGCTAGTAGAGCTTAGTTGTAAGTACACTCAAGGTACGCGTATAGGAGAAGCTAGATGGTTTACAGGTTCACTGGTTCAGCCTAGTTAGTTCCAATGTATAAAAGGTGTGGTCAAAACCAAGTAACACTTAATAAAGAGTGTTAAGTCTGAAATAAGTAAACTCAGTCAGAAGTGCTGTTATGATCGGCGCGTCTGCTGTATTTATTAATCACGTTCCTATGTGGGACGAGATTTTCACTAACAACGGCAGATTGTAAAAATATCCGTATCTAAGATTCTGGTCTTCTAGTTACTAAATAATGATGACTTCCGGTGAGTCATCATTATCTCTCACTAAATCATATATTATATTATCTAGTCCGATCCTCGGATCACAATTAAATCCTCTCAGGCCCGATCCTATGGCTCGGTCTTTAAATAATTTATCCTAGGTCCGGTCCTCTGGTCTGGTCCTAGATTCATCATGTCGGTCCGGTCCTCTGGTCCGGCCCTACATCTCCGTCTACGGTACTTTGTCCACAGCCCCGCCAAGTTCAGTGTTGGTATTTTTGTAATGACTATTTATGCCACAAATCTGAAGGTAATATCCTACACGGACCGTGGGGTTAATGCGTCGTCATAATTATTATTTGCCAATTATTACAAGTGTCGTTAATAGTCGTGGCTAAAGTATCACTCAGTCAACTGTAAACAGACTAAAGTACCTGTTTTATATTAAAATATTTGAAATGCGGTAGTATTATCTGCTGTTTGTACTAAATTCTTTTGTCCTTTTGTAAATGCAAGAAAAATATCTGAACAACAATAAATACAATTAAGAACAGTCCTAGATTTATATATTGTCGTTTTATATATCTTGTATTTGTATCCGGTCCAAACTATGTTTAATACTTTACGACTCATGTCTAAAATTCGTGTCGCCAATTGTTGTAACTCGTTATTATTTAAACTGACCTATGTGGTTCGTTTAACCTATTGTCTTATTCTAAATATATATACTAATTTGGTATCTGACGCATGTTTGATTATGAATGTTCTGTTTTCGAACACGTTTAAACGGTTATTTATATGTGCTATTGTTCTATGGTGCACCGTGGCATAGTATCTAGAAACGGTTTATACCGGTTTGCGAACGGATATATCAACCGTCTGATTCTTTATGTTTCTATCAATTTTAGATACCCAAAAGTATAATGGAAATGTAGTAAATAAACCTCATAATTCATATACGTGTTCGTAGTCTATGTGTGTATGGTTCATTAATTCCAGCTAAATGAAGAGTATCTGTGGCCCTATGCCCGATACTGTTGACTGGGATATCGTGATGTGGATTTCGACGAGTGTATGGCTTCTGTGTCAGATGCAGGCTCGTTGTTAAAGTATTTATTCCCATATAACCTCGTGTTTGTAACGTCGAATTGAATCAGTTGATTCAATTTGTATAATGTTTACGATGTTGTAGCATGTTATATGTATATATGCCGATTATATGTTTTTATACATGTATGTGAGCGTCTCTACACCCTTGCCTCTATGTTAAATCAATTTACTATTTGTGTTCATGCTCACCA